GATGATTCTTCTGCTCATCCCTTGTGCAGACTCTGAAGTTGCAGAGTGACAAAGTGTTGTATGACTGGAAATCTTCATAGCAGCACCAAACCTTCCCCAATATTAACATAGCAGTGAAGGCTGTAATTAACGATAGTCAGGTGTGCCATGCACTTTATGAAACATTCAGATTTCGATGTAGTTTTGCCATGTTCATGCTACTTGCTGGAAAGGACTACCAGAGACATAAAAAAAATCACTGTCACTATAATGTAAATCCCTAGCCCCATAATTAATACCACACACCAGAAGTGACGTTGTCGGAAGTAACTATGTCAGACGAAGCGCATATGGTTACACTTTCTGTAAATAGCAGTGTTTGTATTCTTCTTTACAAACTCAAACATTCACTATATAAAACTGAAAAATGTTTGAAGATTTTGCTTTCCTTTGAATCACTTAATGAATATTTAGTTGTATAAGCAATGTTTCTGAGAACTGCTGTACATCTGTGTTGCATGGAGTCAACCAACTTCTGGCACCAGTGAACAGGTATTCCAGCCCAGGATGATTGGACTACATTCCACAGTTCTTCTCTATTTCTTGGTTTTGCCTCAGAAACTGCATTTTTGATGTCACCCCACAAGTTTTCTATTGGATTAAGATCCGGGGATTGGGCTGGCCACTCCATAACGTCAATCTTGTTGGTCTGGAACCAAGATGTTGCACGTTTTTACTGGTGCGTTTGGGGTTGTTGTCTTGTTGGAACACCCATTTCAAGGGCATTTCCTCTTCAGCATGACATAGGCTCTATCATGTGATCAGCTGTGTCCAATCACAGCTGATCACATGTAAATAGGAAAAGCTGGTTATCGGCAGTCCCTCTCCTCACGGTGACAGCTCGTGAGGAGAGGAGAGCCGGTAAGCGGCATTCCTCAGAGGGGACATCTACAGTGATCATCAGTGTAGCCCCATCAATGCTGCCTTTCAGTGACCATAATTACCACCTGTCAGTGCCCATCAATGCCACATACCAATGCTCATCAGTGCTCATAAATGCCACATATCAGTGCCCATCAATGCCACATATCAGTGCCCATCAGAGCTGACTTTCAGTGCCAGTCAGTGCTGCCTATCAGTGGCAATAAGTGATGCCCATCAGTGCTGCCTATCAGTGCCACCTATCAGTTTCAGTGCCGCCTAACAGTGCCCATCAGCATCGCCTATCAGTGCTGCTTATCAGTGCCGCCTATCAGTGCCATATATGAGTGCTGCCTTTCAGTGCCCACCAGTGATGCCTGCCAATGCCCATCAGTGCCACCTATCAGTGCCTCATCAGTGCCCATCAGCGCACCCTCATTAGCGCACATCAGTGAAGGATACAAATTACTTATTTAGAAAATAGTGTAACAGAAACTAAGAAAAAACTTTTTTTTTTCAAAATTTTCATTAGCAAAAAATAAAAAACCCAGTGGTGATTAAATACCACCAAAAGAAAGCTCTATCTGTCCCAAAAAAAATGATAAAAATTTTGTTTGGGTACAGTGTTGCATGACCTCGCAATTATTCAAAATATGACAGCACTGAAAGCTGAAATTTGGCCTGGGCAGGAAGGGGGTAAAAGTGCCCAGTAGGCAAGTGGCTAATACAAGTCCAGTAGCTCTGCTCAGCCTCACTGGGTGTTTACTGAACAACCTCAATACCAGCATATTATCTCTTCTTCCTTTCCAGACATTTTTCAGTTTTCAGTGCTGTGATAGTTTGACTAACAATTACTTGCTCATGCAATAGTGTACCCAAATTAATTTTATATAATTTTTAAGGCAGATAGAGCTTTCTTTTGGTGGTGTTTAATAGCCACTAGGTTATTATTTATTTTTGCCACCATCTCGTATGTAATATCAGAAACACCAGGAGACTGAAAACGGTCACTCAAGTGACACTCTATAGAATTCCCCTTCACTTCTTTCCCAGCAGCTATATAGAAGCATATGCAGGGAGGTGAAGAGAAGGGTGGAGATCCTGAACCAGCAAAGAGTAATAATACACTCCTGGAAGAGAAGAGGGCTATGATGTTCAGGAAGGGAGTGAGCTTTACTAGGGGATTGATTCTCCTGGAGTAGTCACATTTTCTACCAAGTTCTAAGACACATTGCAAGTGACCAAATGCAATAACAAAATAATAACAAAAAATATTTTTTTGTTGAAAGGAAAAACTCTGCACGTAAACATATACGTAACACCTTCTGTGCTTTAACCTGCTTTTTTAACTTTATAACTGGGTCTCTTTAAGGCAGGGGTAGGCAACCTTAAAAAGGTGGAGATCTACCTGAACAATATGGGAGAAGTCAAAGATCACCTGACACAGTGTCGGCCAGTGTCATTTCCGCACACCTGATTTCAACCTCTAATTGTCGTACTACTGTGTCATAATCACGTGCATTACACAGCAATCATGGGTTTAAATCATGTGGTAAGGAAGCAACATATCGCCTCCTCACAACCTGTCAAACACACTTGGTTCGCTTTTCAGGAGAGCAGCTGTGCCTGCTGCACTTGTGAATGAGCTCTTAGTTGCATCTGGGGGGAGCACCCTTTGGGTTTGTTCACATGTAAAGTTGGGGTGTGGTAAAACCATGAGGTTGAGTCACGGTTTTACCTCCCTCAATCCTTACCCCCTTTAGCTGTGAGCCAGCAGCCAAAGGTGTACACATGCTGCAGCAGGAATTACTCCCCCTGTTGCTTATAGTGGGTGCTACTGCTTGTCAATCGAGACCCATTCAAGTAAAAGGGGCCACTCTGCAAGTGCCCCGTGACTGCATGCTTCGGCAGGGTCCAAGGGGTTTAAAGCAGGTGATTATTATTATTATACAAGATTTATATAGCGCCAATAGTTTGTGCAGCGTTTTACAAAATGAAGGTAGACATTACAGTTACAATACAATTTGGTACAAGAGGAAACAGAGGGCCCTGCTCGTTAGAGCTTACAATCTAGGAAGAAGAGTTGAGTGATACAAAAGGTAATAGTGTGGGGGGGGATGAGCTAATGGAGGAAATAAATGGCAGTTTACTAGGTAGGAGCAGGATAGGCTTCTTTAAAGAGAAAGGTTTTCAGGGATCGTCTAAAGGTGGATAGATTAGGAGACAGCCGGACAGATTGGGGTAGAGAATTCCATAGGATGGGAGAAGCTAGGGAGAAGTCCTGGAGGCGAGCATGGGAGGAGGTAACACAGGGACTAGAGAGCAGAAGGTCTTGGGAGGATCGAAGAGAGCGGTTTGGTTGATATTTTGAGACCAGGTTGACGATGTAGCTGGGGGCAGAGTTGTGGATAGCTTTGTAAGTTGGTGATGAGAAAGCAACACACCACTGCCTGTTTAACCTCTTGTTTGCTGTACTGCACAGGGTTTCAGGGCACTTGCAGAGCGGCTTCATTCACTTGAATGGGTCATGCCTGGCAGGTGCTACACCCACCAACCATGACAGGGCAGAGGAGCCAGCACTATAGAGGAGGCATCGACTTATGCAGCTCTTACTTCCTACTACAGCTCTAACTTTAAAAGTAGTCCCTCTGCATTGCACTCTGCTTGATGCTCTGGGATGGTGGGTCAGCAAGCACATGCACATGCATTTTTTTAGGCTTTTTCATGACTAACACACTACATGCTTTTCCTGCAGCATCCCCATTGAAGTCTATTGAACTAAAAACACACTGTTTTTCGTTTGAAAAAGTCCCTGACCCTTTCCAAAAATGCAGCAGCTGAAAAATGAATCTATGAGAATGTGTTCCATAGGAAGTCATGTTAAATGGACTGTAATGTGTTTCTTCAAAAAGTAATAAAAATGGAAAGGTGTGAACCAGGCCTGCATATCCCTACTAAGTAGAGTGAAACTTTGTAAATTGCAATATAGTCCTTCTCCACATGAGGGCAGTATTGCCACAGTTTTCAGTTAGGCAACGTTCCCTACCATCTGTTCTAATGTATTGCAAAGCTCAAATATTGAAATATTAATTTTGGCAAGACTTTAGTCTAGCTCAAAATTCAAAGACTAAAAAAAAAAAAAAAAAAAAAAAAATTATAGCAGCCATTGAAAGAAATGCCTAAAAGAGTCTAAGTAAAGATAGTAGAAAGCATTTCCTACTACTCGAACCGTACTGCATTACAGAATATTATGATTACAGTGATTATTATTATTAATAATAATATTGATATATTCAAGTGCACACTGTGTTCTGTGAGAAGCGAGGAGTATATCTCCCTCAGATCCTACATTTCCACAATAGTTGTGGCTGATGGGTGGGATCAGGAATTTGGTTGCAGAGAACTTGATGCTAGATGTTTCAACACTCCTACCACCCAAAGCAGAAACAGCATTTTCATTGGACTAACTGTTAAAAAAATCTGGGACACTCCTTTATTAGTCACAGAAATGTGTTTTTTTTTTTTCTCTAACTCTCCTGTGAAGAATTGGGACAACTTAAGAAAACCATGACTAGGAAAGGTGTAGGTGTTGCTCATTTCTGCACTGCAGGTCAGGAAATGAAAGTCAATCCAGATTTCCCATTAGTTCCAGGCTTTATATAGCAACCTTCTCGCCCTTACCAAACAAAATGACCTCTAGACCACTAGCTATAATAACCATTCCATTACAGAAGAGAAACATATTTGAAGACCTGCATTAAAAAACTATAGAGATAAGCAGCGTGGAAACATGAAGCCAGGTTACAGCAATTAGAATTCAACTTGTAGCACCCAGCTGACAGCAAAGGGAAATAAATACCCAGAAAAATCAGAGAAGGGATTAGACTACATCCCCTGACCCTACGTGGACTTCACATGCTGAACATGACAATTAATCCCTTCTCTATCTAGGCACAATATAAATAAATAAGTGACCTAATAAATTACCTAGCAGTTCCATTGCATCATCCTCATTATCAATATCTTCCTCTGTGACAGACGCCGGGGTGCTATGTATAGAGTCAAAGGAGTCTTGGGACAACATGGCCGCCAGGAGCTTCTTATGGTGCTGCTGCTGTTGTTTCAGTCCTTTGTTTTTTTGGCTCCATCTTTAAGCTGGAGAGATAAAATAAAAAACATTGAAAACATGGCGTTTTCCATTTTTTACATTATTGATCATAGGAGTAAACTTTTCTTACGGTAACTTTAGCTTCACGTGAGATGCATATAGTATTACAGTATATAGTATTTGTCCTACTGACAAAAGATTTGCAAAGGAATGTCCATAAGATGGCCAAAGATTTGTAGATATCACACCTACCAAGGGGCGGACTGACCATTTAGCCACTCGGGCACTGCCTGAGGGCCCAGGGTCAGTAAGGGGCCCCATGAGATGCCCCTGGTACCTTTCATTGGCTTTTTCATAGGCTTTTCTGGGTGTGGGCGAGGACACGGGGGCCCCATAATCCCCTATTGCCCGGGGGCCCCATGAGTTGTCAGTCCGCCCCTGCACCTACCCATCACCTACCGATATGGCCTAAAGCAGTGGTGGGCAACCTTTTTTTTCAACTGAGCCAAATCTCGCCAAAACCACGATTGAAAAATTTATTTTGAGAGCCACATTTTTAAAACTGAAAATACATAGGATGGTACACTGTTTTTAGTTTCAATAAGTTTTTATAGTAATTCATCCCCCATATAGTAATTCATCCCCCATAGTAATTCATCCCCCATATAGTAATTCATCCCCCATATAGTAATTCATCCCCCATAGTAATTCATCCCCCATATAGTAATTCATCCCCCATATAGTAATTCATCCCCCATAGTAATTCATCCCCCATATAGTAATTCATCCCCCATAGTAATTCATCTCCCATATAGAAATTCATCCCCCATAGTAATTCATCCCCCATATAGTAATTCATCCCCCATAGTAATTCATCCCCCCTATAGTAATTCATCCCCCCTATAGTAATTCATCCCCCATATAGTAATTCATCCCCCATAGTAATTCATCCCCCATATAGTAATCCATCCCCCATATAGTAATTCATCCCCCATATAGTAATTCATCCCCCATAGTAATTCATCCCCCATATAGTAATTCATCCCCCATAGTAATTCATCCTCCATATAGTAATTCATCCCCCCTATAGTAATTCATCCCCCCTATAGTAATTCATCCCCCATAGTAATTCATCCCCCATATAGTAATTCATCCCCCCTATAGTAATTCATCCCCCATATTAATTCATCCCTCATATAGTAGTAGTAAGTAAGTAGTAAGCCAAGTCCCCCCTGTGTCAATTCACTTACCTTTGCTCCGCGCGTTCCTCTCGCCGTGTTCCCGCGCCGTTCCGGTCTTCAGGGTGGACTGTGAGAGGAGCCTAGCTCCTCTCACGTTCGTCACGCTGCCCCGCCTACACACATCCTGACAGCCAATCACTGGCTATCAGGATGTGAGTGGCAGCGAGACTGGCCAATCATTGCATTTGAGGGCGCTGCCCTGGCTGTTTTTTTTTGGATCACGCTGCAGAGTCCCTGCCGCCCGAGAGGAGGGAGGGGAGCGGGCGCCCGGCACACAAGAGCCGCATTAAAGCGTGTAAAGAGCCGCATGTGGCTCGCGAGCCGCGGCTTGCCGACCACTGATTTAGGCGATTGGAAGCAGAAGTTGTCTTCCCTCTCCCATAGTCTTCTGGGACATGTGATAGGTTCCAGAAGACTACGGGACCATTCACAAGGCGCAGCACTACTTGTGCACCAGGCTGTGAAGCCGCAAGCTGTCACAGCCGGGTGCTCACACTTAGGATATCGGCACCAGGGAGGAAGGACGGCTGGTGAAACCGGCTGTGGTGGGGACACCGTGGGATCGAGGGACAGGTGAGTGGATGTTTGTTTAAAAGTCAGCAGCTACAGTTTTTGTAGATACTGACATTTTTTTTTTTTATCTTTGACTGGAGCTCCGCTTCAACATTACATAGGAGGAGAAAGCCAGGAGCAATCTTTCGCAAGCAAAAAGCAAGTGAAAAGGAAAGCAGCAATTTTATAAAGATATATTTTTAATTGGATTGTACCAGCCATACACATATATTGGACCTCTGCGTAGGGGGGCTTTGATGCTAAACAACTACAAATATACATACGGGGGAAAGGTTTTCTTTGCTGAAAGTGCGCTCACTGCATGTTCCCAGCACAGTAACTACGATGTCACAGAAAGTTCCCGCTGCATACTTGCAACCAGGAGCTTCCGATTATGTGACCACTGCGGCAGCCAATCACCGCAGTCACATGATCAGAATACCCAGCAGTTTGTCTGTAAAAGTGGAAAAACACTTGAATGTCCAGACACTAGGGCAATAAATATGTTCCAAAAAACATTTTAGAACAACCACCTGTATTAGTGGCTTGGCCGGTTTCCATCAACAATGGTCGCTGTCCAGGACTAAGCTCAAAAGCTGAATTTGGCATGCAGTCTTACGAAGTACTCTGTGACAGCACAGTACTGCACACTGCTTTGCATCTGGTTTAAATGGGCAATTCCAATAAGTTGGATGCTCTGGATAACAATTGTGTTTGCATGTATACAGTGCATCCAGAAAGTATTCACAGGGCTTAACTTTTGCCACATTTTGTTATGTTACAGCCTTATTCCAAAATTGATTAAATTCTTTTTTTTCCTTAACATTCTACAAACAATACCCCATAATGAAAATGTGAAAGAAGTTCATTTTGAAATCTTTGCAAACCACATGTACATAAGTATTCACAGCCTTTGCTCAATACTTTGTTGAAGCCCCTTTAGCACCAATTACAGACTCAAGTCGTTTGAGTATGATGCTACAAGCTTGGCACACCTATTTTTGGACAATTACTCCCAGTACCTCTCAAGCTCCATCAGGTTGGATGGGGTGTGTCAGTGCACAGCCATTTTCAGATCTCTCCAGAGATGTTTAATCAGGTTCAAGTCTGGGCTCTGGCTGGGCCACTCCAGGACATTCACAGAGTTGGCCCGTAGCCACTCCTTTGTTATGTGAGCTGTGTGCTTAGGGTCGTTGTCCTGTTGAAAGATGAACCGTCGCCCCAGTCTAAGCTCCAGAACGCTCTGAAACAGGTTTTCATCAAGAATGTCTCTGTACATGCATTCATCTTTCCTTCAATCCTGACTAGTCTCCCAGTTCCTGCCGCTGAAAAACATTCCCACAGCATGATGCTGCCACCACGCTTCACTGTAGGGTATTGGCCTGGTGGTGAGAGGTGCCTGGTTTCCTCCAGGCATGACGCTTGGCATTCAGGCTTGTTTGGCTTGTTTCTCATGGTCTGAGAGTCCCTCAGGTGCCTTTTGGCAAACTCCAGGTGAGCTGCCATTTGCCTTTTACTGAGGAGTGGCTTCCAACTGACCACTCTACCATTCAGGCCTGATTGGTGGAGTGCTGCAGAGATGGTTGTACTTCTGGAAGGTTCTCCTCTCTCACAGAGAAATGCTGGAGCTCTTTCAGAGTGACCATCGGGTGCTTGTTTACCTCCCTGGCTAAGGCCTTTCTCCCCTGATTGCTCATGTTGGCCGGGGTGGCCCGCTCTAGGAAGATTCCTGGTGATTCCAAACTTCTTCCATTTACAGATGATGGAGGCCACTGTGCTCATTGGGACCTTCAATGCTGCAGAAATTTTTCTGCACCCTTCCCAAGATCTGTGCCTTGATACAATCTTGTCTCAGAGGTCTACAGACAATTCCTTGGACTTCATGGTTTGGTTTGTGCTCTAACATGCACTGTTAACTGTGGGACCTTATATAGACAGGTTTATGCCTTTCCTAATTATGTCCAAGCAACTGAATTTATCACAAGTGGACTCCAATCAAGTTGTGGAAACATCTCAAGGATGATCAGTGGGAACAGGACACACCAGAGCTCAATTTTGAGTGTCATGGCAAAGGCTGGGAATACTTAAGTACATGTGGCTTTTTTTCAGTTTTTATTTTGAATAAATTGCAAAGATTTCAAAACAAACTTCTTTCACATTCTCATTATGGGATATTGTTTGTAGAATGTTGAGGAAAAAAATGAATGTAATCCATTTTGGAATAAGGCTGTGACATAACAAAATGTGGCAAAAGATAAGCGCTGTGAATACTTTCTGGATGCACTGTAAAACACTAACATATGTGTGTGGATAGTTTGGAATTTTAGCAATCTCAAACCTGTGAAAATGTTGCTGTTGACTAATTTCTAAACCACTGTGTAAGATGTCAGTGCTTTATAAGTAGCTGAAATAAATAGGTTAAAAATTTTGTCCGCACAGTTTGCGCAAACTTTTTTTCTCCTGTTGTGATGTAATGCTGAAATAGAAAAAAAAACCTCCTAAATTAACTTTCACTCTAAGCTTTACATTTCGGCTATGTCAGATAAACAACATACTTTTACAACTCATTCAGATGAGTACTGAGACCCCTCCTCCGTGCTGAACTGCTTGGTGTGTGTCTTAATCTGGGCTGTGTGCAGGTAACCCATTGAAGTGGATGCAGCGGCTTCAGGGACAGTCGCATGTCAAAATCTGACGTGTGGGCAGCAGTGGTTCCACAGATCCGAACGCAGAATGTCTACATTTAGATCCATGAACTTGATTCTGCTCATATGTCAGATTTTGACATGCAACTGTCTGTACAGTCCATGCATCTACATCCACTTCAATGGGTTGCCTGCACGCAGCACCAAGATGGATGCACATAGCAAAAAGCAGCTCAGCGCAGAGGGCAAGTCTCAGCACCCACCTGAATGAGTCCTTAGTCAGAAGGATTTACTATTGTGGTAAAAATTGCATCAGGAAAAAAAAAAAAAGAGGGGAAGGTGTACTTTTCTCTAATATTTCCCATTTCTTCCTGACTAAATATTTGGTGATAAAGATACATGGATTAAAATCTGCTACCAAATGTAAAACCATTATGTTTTAGAAAAAAAATATGTATACTACTTTGGTAAAAGATAAATATTTCAAATTACAAAACTGTAACACTAACTGAATCCTTGTCCAAGTTGTGTGGCTCAGAGGATATTCTCTATAGACAGCCAGGGAAATAACATTTTCTCAGCAATGGCAACCATCACATTTCTTTTATT